GAACGAGTAAAGCGCTATACAAATACAGGCCATTTACCATTTACCATTCAAAAAAAAGGACATTTTTAACCTAATCTTAAAAGTAGAGATAGTGTCTGACTCCCGAATCCAAATTAGGAGCTGTTTTCACAGGAGAGGGAACTGGAAGCTGAAGGCTCTGCCCCTCATTATTGAGAATAAAGTGCCCTATTCAGGTGATCAGTATTAGGTCTTTAAGAAAAGATGGGGCGTGAAGTTGGAAATATGCTCTCTCTGTCTAGGCCAGGGGTGCATGCGGCTCTTTAGTCCTTATACTGCGGCTCCGCGTGGTTTGGAAAAACAATTATAAGTATTTAACTTAAGTGTATTTTATTTGTGTTCGTATTTTTAAATTGTGGTTGTAAATTGGAAGATTATTGTGATATTGAAATCTAAAAATAAAATTATATGTTATTATTTTTCATTGCTGAAAATAAGCGTCACACTCGCATAAACCATACCCGCCGAAATGCCCTGCATTTATGGAGACTTTCAACCCCAAGGATCCACATACGTATGTGAGCAGCTATTCTCCACCGTGAACTATGGTAAAAACAAACACTGCTCACGCCTCACAGATGACAGCTTACAGTCCTGCGTAAAGATGAAAGTGACTCCGTACAGCCTCGATTTGCAGGTTCAGGGGCAGAAGTCCCTTGTAAACATACCACGGCAGACCCGACGATGTTTCCGTCAACATGCTTTTCAGCATCTCTTTATTGACCACTTTTCACACATGGTTGCTTACCCACACAGCCTGGTGTAGCTTTTCAGCTCACAGCCCAACACACACCAACACAACAGCAGAGAGAGCACAGACTTTAAGGCGGCGAGGCGTGATTGCAGATGCCGCTCAGGTGCGTCCGCCTCCCCTACAGCGGCAGACCACGCCCCGCCACACACATTAACCACGTAAAATAAATATTTCAGATATTTTGCAGATATTTATTTTTCCTTTTTTTCTTTAGCAGCGTAGTACTTTTTTCCAAATATTTTTAAAATTCAGGTCAAGGCTCTGCTACAGGCTGCGAAATTCCAAAGGTGATATAAGCTTGACGGTCACTACAGTTTTTGTTTGCTATAAGAATAATTTAAGTTCAGCTTCAGCGTCATTTAAAAGCGACCTTCAACTGGGTGTATCTCCTTTTTGTTATGGTTTTTAAGAGTTCAAAATGTGTTCATTATATAAATAAAATTTAATTTTCTCTGTAGCACTTCATGGATTTCATAAGCAACACAATTTAGCTGTTTATACAAAGCATAAAGGTAAAAAACAATAACAGTGTTATCTTCATTTTAGATGCCAAAAAGTATTTGCGGCTCCCAGTGTTTTCTTTTCCATGGAAACTGGGTCCAAATGGCTCTTTGGGTGTTAAAGGTTGTTGACCCCTGGTCTAGGCCATGCCATGTCTGTCATGACTCTCGCTGCAGCATTTTGGATCAACTCACGGCTTTTCAGGGATTTTTTTTAGGACATCCTGATAATAATGAATTATTGTAGCTCAGCCTAGAAGGAATAAATACATGAACTTATTTTTCAGTATCACCCTGAGACAGGATGGTTCTAATTTTAGAGATGCTGTGCCAATGAAGGAAAGCAATCCTACCTATTTGTTTAATATTTGCATTGAAGGACATTTTCAAAATGGTCAAAAGTGACTTATATTGTTACTGGAGGTCAAGAAAATGCAATCCAGCGTAAGCATCTGGTTAGACACAAGATCTTTAGAAATTTGTTGTAATTAGATGCTAACCTCCGCTTATCTGGGTTAGACGATCCTGACCAACTAGACTTTATGTCTTTGAAACATTTGAGACATTACTGCTGTTTAACTAATTGGTTTGTGTTGTGTTATTTGGCTTTATGTATATAAAAAGCTGGGTATCATCTGCAAAGCCGTGAAAATATATGATATTCCTTCTAATGGTACTCCTTCGGGCACGGATTGTCAACCTTTAACATCAAAAGTTGTTGAAGCTCCTCCTGCCAAGGGAGAGAGATGGGCAGGTGGCAGGTGTAATTGGGAGATGCCAAATCAATATATATAGTATATGTACTAATAGGCATGGTTAACCCTACTCTGTGGCTCGTGAGCCACGGGTTGCTGACCTCTAGCCTAGGGAAAGGATGCATAATGTGAACATAATTGGTCCTAGCATAGAGCCTTGTGGAACTCCGTAATTCACCTCTGTGTGTGAAGAAGACTCCCCATTTACATGAACAAATTATAGTGTGTTAGATAGAAATGATTCAAACTTTAATACCTACAGTATGCTCTAATCTCTGTAATATAATATTATATACTATATTATACCTATTATAATCTTGCTAAATGAAGAAGGAAGACTCTGTAGGAGTGTTTTGAGTGTAGACAGCATGTCAGGAGTGGCAGCACCAGGAGAGCAGCTAGTCAGTTACAGAAGAGTATGCCTCTTATCAGAGTAAATCAAAGAAAAATGCCAGGTGAAACCATGAGGTATGGTGTGAAAGGTGGCCTCTACTCAGCATCTTCACAAAAGCTTCCATTGAAGACAGAATGCAGTCAAACAGAAGGTGACAGCCTCCTTGAAACAGAAAATTAATCAGAACCAGCAGATGGATACGCTACTGTATTATCGTTCTGCCCTGGTGACAAAATGTGTCGCAACATACTCAGCAAAACTCACAATAATGGAACATGGAGGCAAACCTCTCTCAGTTGCAGCTTTGCAGACAAGGGGACTGAATCAGTCTAGTAGTTACTAGGGGTGGAACATGGAAGGGCCTCATGCTCTGTTGCTGTTCAGGCTAAAGGGTGATTTACAGCGTAAACTGTAAGGAGTATAGCACTGGGCAGTGGAGTGGATAGAAGCTGGATAAATGTGTTGTCCAGAGACCAAGGATTCACGACAGCCACAACCAGAGGCCATTATCCAAACACTTCTGGACTTGTTCCAATGAATATCCAAAGCGTGAATGTGCCCACATGGAAAAAGAATTGATACTTCAGCCACGAAGAGCACTACCCGCCATGGAGAAAATGGAGAAAGAGGCTAGAGGTCAAGATTAAGGCAACAGGAAGGGAAGGTAGCCAACTATCATAGCTGCAGAAAGGTGTGATGAAGACAGGGATCCCTAAGAGGTACAGAAAGCTGCCATACCTGAGGCCTTGAAAACTGCCTTAGCTAGCCACCTGAAAAGGTATACCAGACAGATAGGTGTACACTCAGTGACAGGGGAACAATACGACAAGAGCCCCACCAAGGCTGGGGACAGAGCAATATCGAAAGAGCATATGGGAGAAGGATGCAGCCCATAACAACAATGCTCAGTGGCTAGTGGATCCAAGAGCAGACCACAGCAACCTCCCTGAACAAGCTCTGGTAACCATTACAGTAGCAGACATCCAAGAAAGTTTCAAGCATGAAGAGTTTGATGCACCAGTGAGGACCCATGTGAGGCACACATGGATCTTGAAATGCCTGTACTCTGTGCCTGTCGATAATGACTGAACTGTATCCCTAAGGGATAATCCTTCCACCTTTCAGAGAAAACTAATTTCCGCCATTTGTATCCATGACCTCAGTCCAATTTTAGCAAACAGATGAAACCTTGATTAATGCATTTATGGCATTTCTTAACAACGATGCACCATCTGGTGGCATTGAGGCATTTTGAACTCAAGTTACCAGCATTACGCATCAATTAAAATTTTACTAGACTAAACAACTAGTAAGGCTGGTACAGACTATTGATAACAGTGATAATTAGTCAGCTATTCGACTAGTCACACGCAGAGAGAGAGAGAGAGAGAAGAGTAACAGGTCCAAGTTGAGTAAATGAAATGAAATTCATCTTAATCTTAGTTTTATTTGCAATCATACAGAATCTTATTCTGTGTCCTTAAGCACTTTCTAATTATTATGCACACATTCGCACTCCAGTGGATGCACTGGGGACAGTCAGTATCTTGCCCAAGGTTATTTTGACATGGAGATCGGAGGACCTAAGCTCGATGCCCCGAGAGACTGGCTGTCCTTTTTAAACATTATGACTTGACTTTCATGACTTAATTATACTTGAGAAAAACAGGATATTATGTAATAGTATCCAATGTTTACATTGAACAATGTTTACATCTAATAGCTATGTAAGATTGAGATCATCAACTTGGGCTGCAGCTCTTCTCTTCTTGACTTTGGGATTAGTACCAGCTATGTTACTATTATACTGTTTAGGACTCCCCCAAGAGAACCTCAGCAAAAGTGAGGGGAACACAGACAGTTGTTGTGACAGTATTGAGAGTACCCTATACCCCGCCTCAGTGGAAGAAATGCATACAGGCATGTCATGTACAGATTCCCAGTTTAACAATTCCATAAATCACCATTCTCTATTTGACCCACAGTGATAGATCCAAAATGCACCTGATACAGCAGATAGAGCTCCGATTTCACCCAGAACAGCATGTAAATGTAAAAACAACATTTGTAGCAGCTCTACACCACTACAAAATCTTTGAATATTTTCATTTTTGTATATGTCACTATAAAAGTGATTTCTAAAATGAACCAAAATCTCAAAATACAATAGCAAAACTGCCTGTTATAATAAATTGAGATGGTAAACATAGACATCACACATCAGGGACATAATTATCCACTATATGTATAGGTAAACCATGCAATTATATGTATGTATGTATGTATTTATTTATTTTATTAACTGTTTGTTAATACTCAGACAGCGATAATAAAACTTTTAATAATAATTGTCAAAAGTGTGAAGAAGGCTGTCACCCAAAGGCATGTAAAACTTTTTACCCTGCCAAATCACTGCCGCTTAACAATTTGATGAGTCATTAAATGACTGCGAGCTTCTAAATCTAGTGGGTATGAGTCAGAAGGCCAAACTAATAGTAGGGTTGATTCAGTCCCTGTGATAACAAAGGAAAACAGACAGTGGCATTGTAGAAAGAAAAGACAGAGACATTTCTACTTACACATCAAAGCGAAGGTTCTGCTTTTCCTCAAAGAAGAAATCAAGGACAAACTTCCTAACAAAGTCAGGGTTCAGTGTGTTATCGATCACTTCTGTCCGGCCAAACTAGAGGAAAGACACAGACAAGAGAGACATTGAGGACAACAAAGTCAACAGCTATCAAGTCAGTCTGTTTGTTTAGTAACAGAGAAAGCACTTTCAGTAAACAAAGTGAAAAAAAGAGAGTGAAAAACACTGTTGCTTCTGCTGCAGTGCCTGTTTCGCTAGCTTTTCCTATAAGAGTACACTGTACTTGAGCATCAACTCGCAAGCAGTGTTGGGCAAGTTACTTTGAAAAAGTAATTAGTTATAGTTACTTCTTCAAAAAAGTAACTGAGATAGCAACTGAGTTACAATATTATATAAGTAACTAATTACTAGGAAAAGTAACTATTGCATTACTTTGAAAAAAAAACTTAACCCTCTGGGGTCCAGAGGAGCTCATATCATTCTTTTCAGCACAACCTCACGTCTGAATTCACTGTTATTTTGTCATTTTGACATATTGATCTAAAATCAGACAAAAAAAACATAAAATTCAAGTAGAAAACAATTATATTTTTTACTGTAACAACCACAAACATGTTTAACGAATCATATTTCATAACTTGAAATGCAAACATAAACTGCAAATTTAAAAAAAAAAAAAACCTATGCAGAAGTGCAGAACTCTATCACGGTTTATTTCACACCTCAAACATTTATTAAACAATTAAACACATAAGAGTAAACTGCAATAAATTACATGTAGTAATAAAATACACTACAACTCTTTTACGCTATGTCCACACCTACAGGGGTAATTTTGAAAACGCAGCTGTTTCTATGCGTTTGGGCCTTTCGTCCACACGTAAACGGCGTTTCAAATCACCGAAAACTGATATTCTTTAAAACTCGCAACGTCAAAGGTATGTGCCTTTTTTCACGTCATGCTCGACGTTATTGTTTACATGAGAATTTCTACAATGGCAGATAGAGACAAAATACTGTTAATCGTACTGTCAGGTTTTACACGCTTACATACACACCCGCAGTTACTGTCCCTTCATTTACAAAGGCAGAGGCGTTATGGTGTAATTATTTTACATGTAGTTGTTTTTTTCCTGTGTAATAATATTCAACATTGCAATCAATACATTTTTCAAAAAATGCCTCTCTGTGCAAAATAGGTTTAAAAACATAAACAGCTGTGGGATCCTGTTTGCCTGGGATTTGAACCGGGGGACAAATCGTGGCAGGATCAGCCTGATGTTATTTGTATCCCACTGTAACTTTACTGTATAAAGAGAAAACATCTCCAAAATGTCAGGAGTAGTTAGTCATTACAACAAGTGTTTGTGAACTAAAAATCAAGAATGTGGGATCCTGTTTGTCCGTGATTTGGGGAGCCCAGCTCTGCTTCCCGACGTAGGGAAAACCAATTCTGCAGGGAGACCTACCTCGGCACTTGTGCAGGTGAAACCAAAGGGAAGATAAGCTTCACCATATTTTCTAGTCTTCGGCTTAGAATGAAGTTGGTTTGAAAACATATTTGGCGTTGCTTCATCTCCTGCTTGCTTGGTTTGTGTGGGAGCCCCGTCAAAAACCTGCAATGGCTCTGCGCCCCCCTAGGGGGCGAACCTCACACTTTGGGAACCTCTGCCTTAGAAGATGCTGTTTTTACCGTTTCTTCCTGCAGTAAACATAACGATGCATTCAGTAAAAAACATCGTGTATGGTTTTTATCTTAACTCTGGTTTGACGTGGGCTCTCACTACAATTTAAAAAGTAGTATATAGTTTAAGTCCACACTTTAAACACAAAGTTTGAGAATCAGGTTTGTCTTGCGATGACATAGAATCTTTTTGCTATGTCATCTTAAATTGGTCATGTGATTGGTTTACCACAAGTACTTTATTCTTCCTCAGCCAATCAGCAGCACTTGTGTAACTGTTTCTCCTGCTTTGCCTTCCTGATAAGCTGAAGACAGGTTCAACCGTATGTGTGTTTAAAATAGTAACACCTCTGCACTGCATTTTCTTGTTAGTAACGGTAACAATGTTGTAACGATAGAAATAGTAATTAGTTAGGTTAGTTACTGAGGCTACAAACCTAGCCTATTACTAGATCATTCTGAACAAGTAAAATATGTTAAAGACAAATATACAACAACATTTAAATATCTGGCACAGCTGTAGATAAAAGAGCTTTCCCCTGAAAGGAAATCATCATCGTTTTAGAAACACTTCAGATTTAGCAAAAGTGATGTTAACTAAGATGAAATCATGTGCAAAATGTGCTGCAGAGTTGTGTCTACACTGCAAAGCAGCACAACTAACTTATTCAACCACGTGAAAACACACCACAAATTGCACTTTAATTAATGCATGAAGGCCAAGAAAAACATGCAGTGGTTGCTAATGCAAATCATCCGGCTTAACGCTGATGACCATAAAATGAGCCCGTACAGTAAATCTGCATTTCCATCAAACTCACAAAGACAGGCTGAGATTAACAACACAGCCGTATTGCATATATTAGAAGGCTTTATGAAAATGGTCAGCTTACTGGTTGAAAGATACAGATTTGTTTCTTCTAAACATGCAAAATGCCACAGGGGACATGGAGAGGAAATCACAGCTGTCAAGTAGGCCTACCTTACTACGAGCTAAAGTCACATCCATTATGTTTGTAGGATGAATGCAGTTAAAGAATTTATATGTCGCTTCTAAGAAATGCACTTAGGCTGGGTGAATCAACACCTTATTTGTCTTATTTATGTATACTAGAGAAGCATTGCCACCTGTACTTGTTATCCAGGTCATTCATGCACATGTGAAATAAATGAATGCACTGACATGCTGTGAAGTCTACACAGCTTTAGAGACAGAGAGACAACCTCCTCCTCCCTGCAGTGTAGAGGTGGGGTGAACCTGAAGGAGTGGGTTCCTGTCATGGATAACAAAAAAAAACTTCCTGCCACCTTCCTTTTACTACACTGCAGACAGCTGCCAAAACGCCCAGCAGTGGAAGCTGCAGTTCCACTGCTCCATAAAGCATAGTCCCAACTATTCTCTCAAGCTTCAGTGAAAGAGGCTCGACATGTATCAAAAGGCGGGATAGGACATATTTCATCATATTCCCATTGGATTCAAATGGGGACACAGTGAGGAGGGTGTGGGTGTCTGGGTAGATCTCTGATCTAACTCTTGCATCACAAGTTTTTGATCCAGCAGTGACATGCAGCATGCTGGAAGACCATACAGCTCACTGGCCAGAAAAATTATAACACAACACAAGTACCTCCATATTTTACAAATGGTTACAAAAGCGTCTACTTTTCCAGATATATATATCTAAAGAATGAAACTTGCATATATATAGCGAATGATCTTGTGAATATATTTTATATAAAGTGATGTCAAATTTGTTTCCATTTTTATCGCTTATCTTGGCCTTCTTCTTTGAGATGTTAAATGGTATTCTCAGTTTTTCAACTTAAATTTCCAGATTGTTTTATTTTATTTTATTTTATTTTTATTTAAATTTGCTTAACGTATATAATTCACTCACTTACTGCACATAATGTCCTGCTTGTACATATTCACTTACTGTATATAATGTTGTCTTATTGCACAGTCGAGGGGCGTTTCAGGACACATGTCACTGGGTGTTGTACTCGTATAACTATGCCTGTGATAAATAAAGAATCTTGAATCTTGACCCCATATCATGTGCTCAGCTACCACTTGAAGTGTTATCTCAGTTGACATCTCCATCAGTGAGTGATAAATATATATACTTTATGTTGCATTTTATTTCTTAAATTTAAAATTCTTAGCATTAGAGGATGGACAGCTGCAACAAAAAGAGAAAGCCGATTTTCTTTTCTCACAGAAGACACTTTGACATGTTGAGAAAAGGTACAATTAAGAGAAGTAACAGCTGGACTCCACTTAGATGTCTTAGCACTAGTCCTTTTCCTGCTGTGAGAAGTCAAAATATCTGCCACTTGCAATGGTTTTATTACCGTGAAAGAAAATAGTGTGGAAATGGACGTGTTTGTCTGTGAGCTGTCACTAAAGTGCTGCCAATTTGCAACACAGCAGCTGCTGGTGTAGACCAGCAGAATCCATACAGCCAGACATGTGCCATGACCTGTGTTTTCATAGAACAGTTAAAAAACAAGACGACTCTCTTAAGAAATTTCTGAATATACACGATGCAATGTAACCTACATATTTGTACAGTTTGTCATTTACTTTTAAGTCCACTGACCTAAACTCAAAGGCTGAAGTGACAAAAGCCATCTACACCCTCTTAAAGGCAGAAAGTGTGTACTGTTAAGTGTACTGTAAGCAAAGCTTCTGGTGAGTCTTTGGCACTGAAATCTTCCATTGATGAGTTTGAACGCTGTCGCTTTGGACAGATGTGAACTTTATATTTATCACTTTATAGAAATCAGTGATTAGTAACTGTTAGCTGTATATCGTTTTTCCTAATGAATTTGTTTGTGGTCTTAGTATGTTATCCATAAAATTACATGCATGATGACATTAATACACTTAAGAATAAGTACAGTTTATTACAGAACAATCCATTTTGAGGTTATATGATTAGCATTTTTTTAAACAAAGGTTTGTGGGCACATATACAAGAGAAGCCATTTTTAGGTGTGTTTTACTTTTTGTAGTTTGGAGGCTCTTTGCCACGCTATGTTCAAACTACACAAACCATGATTCAAGAGTTACAATCAAAGAGTTCCACGAATAAAAAAATGTAATTAAAATTCAGCTGCTTTCCATTTTAAGGTTGTTTCCACGTGCAGTGCAGCACCTATGTAAGCAATTCTGGTTGGTTTGGACACTGAAAATATGATAAATTTTGAGTGCACAGGTCCCTCAGGCCATGGTTGTGTCCTGATGCACCACTTTTAACCTTGAACACTGTGGCCCCTTCACCTGTAAACATAAATGTTAACCTTCAGCATAAAAGCTGGGTTAGTTTGATACAGTTAACTTTGAGAACAAATGCCAGACTTTGAGGGAATCTTAATGCACTGGGTGAGTTTGGTCCAGGCCAAATTT